TCCCTTTAAGAAAACTCTGATCATCACTCAGGTCAGACTGGCGTCAAAGGTTACCTGAGTTCATGTTGGGATCGTGGTAAAGTTTCCAGCCTTCCAGGGTTGCAGCTCTCCAGGCCTGACCACAGCGCTTACAAAGCCTCTGAGCCTACACACACACACACACACACACACACACACAAACAGCTTTAAGTTTCAAGATGAAACAATTACAGTGTCAGATTTGTCAGTTGTAAAAAAAAAAAAATCCCAGAGATGGTCACCTTCAAACCTCAGAAGATGAAGCTGAAACAACCTGCATGTTTGACACCACGAGGAGTAGGTGGTAAAAGTTAATCCATTTATTTTAAATGTGTGTATTGGCCCTTTAAATCTGTCTTTACCCCCTGCTCGTCTCTTTACCTCCTCAGTCATCCCCGCTCTGATCAGAGTGAACAGGTTCTTCAGCAGTCGGGCGTCATCTTCTCTGTCCAGGTCAGCCAGGGGGCGCTGCTGCCGCAGAGGAGCATCTGGGTCCTGAGCACACACACACACACACACACACACATCACCTATGGCTGTATCCACACTGATTCGTTTGAAGTGTGTCAGCCCTGTAATAGTCTGGTGACTGGGGTGAACCCAGGCTCCACCCCCCCCCGCGCCCCCCCCCCGCGCCCCCCAACAGGATAAGCAGCTACAGATGATGAATGAATGCTAAACACTCCTGTGTGTGGAGACTGTTGTCCTCTTAAAAACACACATTACTGTGTGTGTAACCTGTGTGTTTGTTGCCATGGTAACAATCCTCACCAGTTCAGTGACCAGGGGAACGGTGAAGGCAGTGCCGCTCTTCCTCCTCAGCTTCAGTGAGTGGAGGGTGTTCTCCCTGACACACACACACACACACACACACACACATCGTAATAATACACACAACTGTAGGCGTGATATTTAAAGAGTGACAGACAGACTCACCAGCAGACGTTTTTGGCATAGTATTCTATGTTGTCGGAAAAGTCTCCGATCTGATCCTTGGCGATGCTCTCCAGCCAATCAACAACCAGCTGTGACACAAAAACAAACTCTGTTCAGTGGTCGTCTCCTCGTCCTGCTCCAGACCGTTTATTTAACACTCCTTCAGGAGGAGGACGCAGGAAGTGTCTGTTACCTGACTCTGACGTACAACGGCGTCCCGCTGGAACAGCCGCTCCACCACGACCTTCTCACTCTCACTGGGAGCCTTCACACACACACACACACACACACACACACGCACGTCACATGTACAGCCTCAGAGTCATGCGTAATTGAGGGTTTAAAAGTGTGTGTGTGTCTCAAAGTCTCTAAACTGTAACTCACAACCATGTCTGTGATGTCATCTTCCAGCGCCAACTGGACCCGGTCCCTGCAGACACAGACAGCTCATCAGTCAGAGACAAGTGGACAGACAGGCAGACAGACAGGTAGACATGGACAGGTGCGTACTTGTACAGCGAGGTGATGAGTCTCCAGGAGCAGTTCTCCTGCTGCAGCAGCCAGTAGACTCCTGCTGCCTTACTCTTCTGACCCGCTCTGAGGACCACGGACAGCAGCACGTCCGTCTTCAACACGGGGACAGAGACAAAGGTGAGCTAAGCTAAGCTAACCATGTCCTGACATTTTGTTCAGCTAACTTATTTTTGTTTCAAATGAAAAACACGACAGTTTGACTGAACAGAAACTGATCCGACCTTCTTCTGGCAGAGAGTCTGGTAGTCCTCCAGCAGATCAAACACCGCAGAGGAAGAGTGTTTCAGGAAGGATGCGAGGAACTCTGGGAAGAGACTGGCGGCCGCTGAAAGATTAAAAAAAAAAAAAAACAATGAACGCTGCTAAGTAACAGGAAGAGGCTTCTGGGAGTGTTTGTTTTACCCACCAGCCTCTCCAGGGTCGTCCTCCTTCAGTAGCGCCGAGCTGAGGTCGGTGAGGTCTTCTGAGAAGGAGCTGATGTTCTCCATCACAGACACAGGAGAGGCGGTCCAATCACTGTCGTCCAAATCCTACACACAAAAACACATCATTCATTTAACGCTCAGTTCAGACCAAAGACTGACGCCGAGACGAGTTGAAACGACTGACAGAGAATATTATCGTATGTGCCTCAGATCTTAACGTCAAAGCCTGAAGCCACAACAGAGCGTGTGTGTGTGTGTGTGTCTCACCATACTGCTGAATGCGTTTCTGGGTGTGTGTGTGTATCGAGGCGTTCGACCTCCTGAAGCCAAGATGGAGGAAACATCTGAAAATCTGGGAGTTACTGACAGAGACAGAGAGACATGAGGCGAGGGATTTAGTCTGAGATCACAGTGTAATCAATAATCGTGTGTAATCAATAAAAGTGTGTGTGCGCGCGCGCGTGTGTGTGTCCTACCAGCCTGTCTGAACAGTGAAGCCGGAGTGTTCCTCAGCAGAGAGCGGGCAGGCGTCACTGTGGAGGCGATGGGGGTGCCGCTGTCAGGTGACGGGACTGAGAGCAATCGTCAGGAAAACAACGATACTGATGACACTTATGACATCATTAGTGACGACTGGTGATGTCACTGTGCTACATAGAGGGTATTTATTTAAAGAGGTTTCCAGCAGCCTGAAACGCTTTTTGCTATTTCATGAAATTAATCACACACACACACACACACACACACACTCTCTCTCTCTCTCTCTCTCTCTCTCTTCCAGCAGGTTAGGATACAGGCCACCTTCTTCATCCTGCGAGCAGCGAGCGACACAAACTCATCTCGCACCACTGGAGACAGCAACTCATCCTGACCACTGGAAGACAAGACGAGTACGTACAGTATGTGTTTGTGAGTGAAAACACAACAGAGTTTACGTCTTCCCACGAGTCTTCACCTTTGACTTACGCTCAGTGGAGCCAAAGCATCACGTGACACACTGCAGAACACGAAATCATCCATGTTTAATTTTGTCTTCACACAAAGAAGATGTGCAGAAACTTCCCCTGAATCTACTTCTGAGGATTTGAGGGGTGAAAGTTCTGGATGAACAACTATAGACTGTAACAGGAAACTTCTTGTGTGGTAGATTTTATTTGTCAAGTTTGGAACAGAAGAAGTTATTTGCTTGCAGCGTTGTGTAAGAATTTAACTATTATGTGTGACAACTGTGTCACCAGTGTGACAGCATTGTGGCGTCTATCTATGCATCTTCAGTCGTAGAGAGATGTGGAATGGAGTGACACTTGTGTGTGGGTCGACAGATAATCAGCCTGGTCGATTATTGGGCCGATATTATGAATTTTTAGGGTTATGGTATCGGGGATTTTTTCCACCAATATGCCGATATACAGTGTTCCTGAGCTGCTCTGTTTTGCCCCTGGCGTGCTTCTCACTGCCTGCACGCACCACTCTCGGCTCTAGGAAATTTTATTTTATTTTTTTTATTGTTTTTCATTTTATTTTTTTAATTTTGTATTTATGACTATCGTGTATTTGTTTATTTCTTTTCATTAATCTGTTTTTATTTAGCTGGCATATTCTTCAACTTCGTTATTTATTTATTCATTTTTAACTTATTCATTTTCCTATTTATT